GAGTGAGGTAATCCAGACCCAAAAAGATGAACATGGGATGTACTCACTCATAATTGGTTTCTAGCCATAAATAAGGGTCACGGAGTCTACAATTGGTGATACCAAAGAAGCTAACTAAGAAGGTGAACCAAAGGAAAAGCATATAGATGTCCTCTTGGCTATGGGAAGTAGAAAAAATTGCCGGGGAGAAAATTGAGATCTTGGGGGTGGGGTGGGATGGGGGTAAAGGGAGATGGGGAGAGAGGGGGATAGGGGGAGAATGGGGGAGCTTGGGGAAGGGGGAGGATTGGGATGAAGGAAGGTTGGATGGGGGAGCACGGAAGCACGGTTCTTAGTTAAGGGAGCCACCTTAGGGTTGGCAAGAGACTTGAACCTAGAGTGGCTCCCAGATGCCCAAGCCGAGGTCCCCAGTTAGTTCCTTGGGCAGCTGAGGATGAGGAACCTGAAATGACCCTATCCTATAGCAATACTGACGAATATCTTGCATATCATCATAGAACCTTCATCTGGTGATGGATGGAGACAGAGACAGAGACCCACACTGGAGCACTGGACTGAGCTCCCAAGGTCCCGATGAGGAGCAGAAGGAGGGAGAACATGAGCAAAGAAGTCGGGACCACGAGGGGAGCACCCACCCACTGAGACAGTGGAGCTGATCTACTGGGAGCTCACCAAGACCAGCTGGACTGTGACTGAAAAAGCATGGGATAAAACTGGACTCTCTGAGCATGGCGAACAATGAGGGCTGATGAGAACCCAAGGACAATGGCACGGGGTTTTGAACCTACGTAATGTGCTGGCTTTGTGGGAGCCTAGCCAGTTTGGATGTTCACCTTCCTAGAAATGGACGGAGGGGGGAGGACCTAGGACTTACCACAGGGCAGGGAAATCTGACTGCTCTTTGGGCTTGAGAGGGACGGGGAGAGGAGTGGGAGGAGGGGGAGAAGGGTGGGAGGAGGGGGAGAAGGGTGGGAGGAGGGGTAGGGAAATGGGAGACTGGGAGGAGGAGGAAATTTGTTTTTTTTTCTTTTCTCAATAAAAAAAAAATAAAAAAAAATAAAAGACCTCTGCCTCCTGCCTGTGATCAGGATGTAAACTCTCAGTTACTGCTACGGTGTCCTGCCAGGCTGGCTGCTGCCATGCTGCCCACAGTGATGGTACTGGACTAACCCTCTGACACTGAAAGCAAGCTCCCAATTTAATGCTTTGTTCTGTAAATTCCCTTCAGCACAGCGCCTTTTCCCAGCAATAGAACAGTAGCTCAGTCAATGTCCTGTGGCTGTCAAGGGACTTGCAGTTCCTGCCTCTTTTCTTCTGTGTTATCTCTTCTTGTAGGGCACAGAGGATAATTTCTATTTCAATATCAAATTAGTGGCTCCAAAATGATGGTGAGGTAAAGGAAATACTTTGGAGATCTCCCTGCAATAGAGAAGGGACCCCAAGTTTGTTCTACATCGTAAGGGTGAATACATATTACATCTGAGTCATATGCAGAGCATATTCATAGAAAAATACATGGCGACCACACCACAAACACCATGGAAACATACTTGGCTACCACACCACAAACACCAGGTTGCTCTTGGAAGTCCCCAGCAGGCATGGTGCAACACAATTGCAGTGACTGACCAGGATACAACTTGCCTGGGAGGCAGCGATCTGGGGACTGTAGCACAGCCTCCTGGAGAGGGGATGGAAAGTCTAGGAAATCCATCCATCCCAGAGTCAGGGGATTCAAGGTGCCCACCACATTCATATTCTCTACAGAGCACCACTCTGTATCCCTTGTGCACTGCCCACTTTACACTTAGGGAGGATGAAGTGAGTTGTGGAGCACTACAGTTGCTGCAATCCATAAATGGAACTGCTCTATACGTGTGCCAGCTTTCCAAACACACTAAAAACGCATTGCTATTCCATAAAACATCAGCCCTTTTAAAGAAAATAAATGTAGGCATGTAGTTTGAATGCCACCTCCTGGCCTTAGTGGGAACTACATCAGTGAGAGTCTTGGGCCCAGTGGAGTCTATGTTTGGATGGGAGGGAACATTGACTGTGACCTGGACTTGAAGGGACCATACCTCTGAAGATAAGGCAGTGTTTTTTCACCTCATTATGATTTCCTGTCACATAATACTTGACATCTTAGGTATATCAAATGTAAACCCGAGATTGGAGACCAATCCCAGTCTAAGGCTAAGATAAAGCAGCCTCATTAGATAGAGATGGTGGAGCTCTGTGTGTAAACACACACACACACACACACACACACACACACACACACACACACACACACACACACACACCACACACACACACACACACACAGAGGCATGCACACAGCATCAAAATAGATTACATTCGTCCTTACTGCTCCAGAAACTGAACAAAATGACTACTTCTCCTGAAGTATGGAAGGTGTATAATCCTTTATCCAAAGTGCGATTGTGGGTTCGTGCATGCCTGTGAGTGCGTGAGCAATTGTGTGTGTGTGTGTTTGTGTGTGTGCGCGCGCGTGAGGTCAGGGGACAGAAGACAGCCTCCGGTGTTGTACCTCAGGTGCCATTCCCCTGAAGTTTTTCTTTTCTTTTTTTTTTTAAATTTATTTATTTATTAAGGATTTCTGCCTCATCCCCACAACCGCTTCCCATTTCCCTCCCCCTCCCCCGATCAAGTCCCCCCCCTCATCTGCTCGAAGAGCAATCAGGGTTCCCTGACCTGTGGGAAGCCCAAGGACTGCCCACCTCTATCCAGGTCTCGTAAGGTGAGCATTCAAACTGCCTAGGCTCCCACAAAGCCAGTACGTGCAGTAGGATCAAAAACCCACTGCAATTGTTCTTGAATTCTCAGTATTCCTCATTGTCCTATGAAGTTTTTCTTAGACAAGGTTTCCAACTGGCCTGGAACAAGCAAGGCAGGCTGGGTTGGCTGGGCAGCACACTCCAGAAATAGGCTTGCCTCCACCTTCACACACAAGCATGTCCCACCACATCTACTACTTTTCCTGCTGTAGTTTATCTTCATTTTCTTGATGATGCTCTCTGTGAATGACACTCAGGGCCTCATGCCCACAAGGCCAGCAATTTATTGATTTAGCTGTCTCCCCAGCCCCACTTTTACCACCCGAGCACAAGCATTTTTCTCAGTTTACACTTTAAAGTACTTTCCTTCCTGGATACGAAATTTGAAACACCACAGGAAAGCACATATAGTAGCATAAGGAAATCTGTCTGTCGCTGGGCTGATTCCTACCCCTAAGGCACAGGGCTGTCTGCAGGGAAATCTCCTGAGAGTGAGCAATCTGAGTACAGTCCAAGCCACCATTTTCTATACGCCTTGCTGTATGTGGTGGTGAGGAAGTTGCCTTCCCATTTAGGGGATGGTAATCTTTAAAATGTCTGGGCCAGGGGCGTACATTGCTGTGCCTCATATCCGGGGAAAGAGGATGGCTTCCCATGCCAGAACTAAGCTGAAACTTTACAACAGTGAATGGAATGATAATAGTCCTGCTAACTACTTTGTGTGTTTAGTGCAGAGTCTCAGAGCAGCCCAGCCCAGCCTGGGACTCTTGCCCTTCCTCCCTCAGCCTTCAGAGTGCTGCTGGTCTTCCAAGCTTAGCACACTGCCACAGCTCAAGTATTCATTTTAATGTAAACACATTCTTAATGCTACTGTTTTCTTCTCGGCCCAGTAACATTTTCATTCCATTTCTACATGTATATGGTTGAATTCCCAAGAAATAAGTAATTTTATCATTGATTTCCCTGCAAAAATTTATTTTATAATGATCCACATCTCTTGAAAAACCATGAATTCTAAGATTGCTATTTTAGGAAATTTAGCATTGACGAGATATTTTAGGTTTTTGCTTGGTTTTCATTGTTAATTAGGGCCTCTCTATGCTATTCAGGCTGTTCCGAAACTTTTTAGCACTAATGATCAATCGTGTAACCCCAGTGTTCAAATAGCTGGAAGTGCACGCATTTGCCACCTAACGCTGATGAAAACTGTTCTCATTACTGCCTGGCATTTGACCATTTTTCTTCATTGTTTCACAACAATTATTTTAATTTGTACATAATTTTAAAATGTACATAACTTAATAATAATTACGTTGTGTATATTCCTATGTGTATGTACACATGAATTCCTGTGCCTCCAAAGGTCAGGAGAGGTCATACCTTCCTGGAGCTGAGGTATGGTCCTTCAAGGATGTTGGAAATGGATGCTGGAAACTACCTTGGATCCTCAGCAACAATAGAATGCACTCTGAACCACTGAGTCATCTCCCCTGCCAGACTGTAGACTGTTAGATTCCGTTAGCCTTTATAATGTTCATATTTTAAATTCCACTGTGTTTTCCCCTTGGTCAATGACCTGGAGTTGATGCTTCTTTTTTTTTCTTGTTTAGATTTTAGTTATACTTTTCATTATGTCTGTCTGTCTGTCTGTGGTATGCACATGATTGGCAGAGGCATTGACTCCTGATGGGGCTAGAGTTAAAGGCAGTTGTGAGCTATCTGCCATGGGGGCTGGGAGCCATACTCTCATAAACAGTAATGACTCTCTTGTCTCTTTCCTCCTCCCTCTACGCCTTGAGTGCTGGTATTACAGGTGAGGGTGAACATGCCCAGAGGGTCAAAGAACACAGAGCAATTTCCATTCTAGGCAATCATTCTGCCACGAGAGCTATGTCGCCAGTCCCCATACTGTGGCTTTTTAAATTCACCAGTGATTTCTTTTCATGGTATAGCATTCTCATTGAACAGCTACCAGAGAAATCAAGAATATAGCTGGGAATGTGTGCACAGCCAGGGGAGCAATAGCAGTGTCTAGGGACCACTTTTAAAAATCCCCAAATGTGCTCCCACCACATTTGTGAAGAGCTTGGGACAGGGCCGTCAGATGCTGGGCAGATCTAAGTGCTGTAGCATCCTCGAGTCCAGCCTCTGGCAAGGACATCCTGTTCCCGAGAGCAAGTCTCCTGCCAGCAAACCTACCTTACATGCCCAGCTTCCCAAAGGTCAGCAACAAGGGACTAGAGGCTGTTGTTGTACTGTCTGTGGATGTGTGTGCACAGCCAACGACCCAGACCCTGCAGAAGAATCACAAAACAGGAAAAAGGTTGGTCAAAGAATCAGACACATCCTTAAGCTCAGTGCTGAAGACATAAAAAAAGAAAATTTGGAAATATAGCATAGTGTGTGGAAATAGAAATGACGGAGAAAGAAGAACAGGATTTCCCTTGCACGGAGATGTGAGTGTATGTGTCCTGATGTGGGGCTGTGCCTCCCTAGGAGTATGGGGACAATGATGAAGGGATCCCAGAGATATCTGAGAAGCCGGATTCTGTGTTTGGATGTCTGTACAGCAATGGTTCTCAGCCTTCCTATGCTGTGACGTGACTCTTTTTTTTTTTAAATATTTATTTATTATGTATACAATATTCTGTCTGTGTGTATGCCTGAAGGCCAGAAGAGGGCGCCAGACCTCTTTACAGATGGTTGTGAGCCACCATGTGGTTGCTGGGAATTGAACTCAGGACCTTTGAAAGAGCAGGCAATGCTCTTAACCACTGAGCCATCTCTCCAGCCCCCTGTGACATGACTCTTAATACAGTCCCTCATGCGTGGTGATCCCAACCAGAAAATTATTTCTGTTGCTTCATCATCGCTGTAAAGTTGTTACAGGTAAGAATCACAATGGAAATAGTTTTGGAGATAGACGTTTGCTGAAGGGGTCAAGTCACAGGTTGAACCACTTTTCTAGAGTCAGAGAGATGTGGGACCTTCCTAGCCCCAGCAACTTTGGTTCCCTGAGCCAGGATGTCCTGGACCCATTCTCCAAACACAGGCTGGGAATTTCTGTGAGGAGAAAACAGAGTGAGACCCTCTGCTCTGAGCTGTGCTTCCCACTCTGTGAATTGAGAGCATCACACTGCTCATGTGCTAATTTGGGGGTCTTTAGTGATAATACCTGCTTTAAATACCAGTCACAAGTTCCTGCATATGTGACAGACTAATGTTGATATATGCAATTGGAATTACAGGCTGGCCTTGAACTCAGACATCCAACTGCCTCTGTCTTGTGAATGTTTGCTCCGTGCCCAGCTGTCAAAAATACGCATTTCTAAAGGCAGTCTTCTTCTGGAGAAAGAATAGGGACAAGCAGTTGCTACAGAATTTAGAGACTGATTTCACTTCAACTCTGCCTAAAACCTACTCACTTCCTTCATCTGTAAACCTACCAAGAGCAGTACATGCTGTAGAACAGCCATTTTCAAAAATACACTGAATTTTGTGTTCACTTTTTATGAGACAAATGTTAGATTCTTATTCTTTTGGAAATTATGCTACAGTTAGCTGTACTTAGAAAACTTTACATCTGAAAATTATTCATCAGCAACTCGTTATCAAATTGTTAAGTTTTAATGACTAGATTGGGTATTCAAACTATCCTGTGTCAATACACGTGGAATAACTGATGTCAGTAAATGGAAGCACCGTGTCTCCATGTGGTCAGACAAATCCAGAGATGTTAGAGCAACGTCTCCACAAGGAAAATGCACAGCGCATCCAGGTGCTATCTGCCCTCTCCCAGACAAGGCTGCACAGGGCAGCTCTCCTGCTGATCACTGCAGCATGGCTTCATCCCTCTTTCATACCTCCATCCCTCCCCTGTCTTCGGAACCATCTCCACTGTCTCCACACACTACCTCATCCCGCCCTCCCCAGGCCTTTCTCTGTGCAGTGCCAAGTCACCTTCTACCAAAAGGAAACATATCATGACAATTCCATAACTCACCTTCCACACAGATCATATAATCCAAATGTCATACACAGCTGACAATGACAACATTTTCCTTTCTGTCCTATCCCCAAGCAGTGTCCACGTTGTCTTCAAGGTTCTGGCAACTAGCCTTGTTCTCTGCTCTTAGATCCACTGTTCTCCATGGAAGCAAGCACGCCCACAACTTGGTTTGTGCACGGTCTTGCTTCTATTTGCCATTCAGGACTCAGATCACATGCTAACTTCTGAAACCTTTGGGGGTAACATCACATACGACAATCCCCATCACAACTATTTCCTGTCCCCTTTATGATCTTTAAAGCGCCAATAATACACGGAATTGCTGTGATTACTGATTTCTTCTGCTTACTGACAGTTTGCCTATCTAACACGATATACAAGGACCCGTGCTAGTCTACACAGTGCAGGAACAAGGTGTTCACTAAAGAGGCCACTATGTGAATATCTGGATAAACGTACACGAAGGAATTGATTTGTCTATTTGATATGCCATGCAACACAGTGGTATTTAAGGCAGTAACAAGAGAACATGGCATGGACTTAAGCAGTCTGTGACTTCATATCCTGGAAGACAGAATATCAAACACACTAGCAATACGTTTTAACATGGACAGCCATCAGAAAGAAGTGGCTATGCCACACTCACTTCCTAGGGTTTGAATCAGTGTCTGCTGTGGACCCAGATATCTACCATTTTAATAAGCATGATTCAGTGTCTGTTGTGGATCCAGATTTCTACCATCTTAATAAGCAATCCCTCCAAATGTGATGCAGTCATGCATGGCCCATTCGGGGAAATGGTCTGATGGGGATTGCTTCCATTTCAGTCCTGGTCATTTAAAGGGACCCCTACAGGGTTCAGTCATCTGGGGAGTCTATGAATGCCAGTGTTTCACAGTGTGCTGCTCTTTGCTGCGACCTGCTCAACAGGATGTGTTCCTACAAGGCATCACAGACCAGCTGCTGGTCACACAGATGGGAAGAGAAAAGGAAATGACTGACCTGGTGAGTCCCACATGATCTTGTCACTCTACTGTACTGAATATAAGGATGGAGTAGTCTGTCTGCATCCAGTCAAGTCAAAGATGTGCAGTGACATCTTCCTCTTCTTTGTTCATTTCACAGACCCTTTATACACAGCCATGTACACATCACACACACACACACACACACACACACACACACACACACACACACTCACATTGGTGGCAATGATGACTCACATACTGGAAACAAGGGCTCATGTCAGCTTCTTGTCAACATTCTGCGTGTTCTCTCTGCAGGTCTGCTGTTCTTCTCATAGAAGAGACCTGACATTGATAGACAGAGGACACAAAGTATCACTGACAAGAAGCATTTGCTTTTGGCTTTCTTCCCAGGGGTGGTCAGATAATCCAGAATTCTAGACAGATAACAAATGAAGAGCAGGTCCACTTGAATGTACTCCCACGGGCATGTTATGGGATAATTTAAGCATCACAGTATATAATGATGACAAAGGAGTACTCCTTTAAGAAATGGGTGTTTCTGAGTAGACACAAACGCATGAGTAAATCCATTAATAAACAAAAGATAAAAGGGAAACTTCACTCAAAGACAAGCAATGCTTGTATACTAGTAACTGCACAGGGAAGTAGGTATCAGAGCAACACTTAGCAGGCGTCATGGTTATAATAAACATGGAAAGAACCATACATAAAACACCCCCTCTGTACAAGTCCACAGCAACACTGCTAAAATCTGCATGACTGGATGGGAAAACAAGAGGGAAAACACACGAGTACTAACCTTTTCCTTTTTGTGTTGGGGAAAATAATATTAGATATTTTGAAAATAATTACCTAAGTATTCTTCATAATACAAACCTTTCTGGAGTTACACATACATACCTAACTCTTCACATGTATCCCCTTCTTTCTCTCCACCGTGATCTCAGCACCTCCCTGATGGAGCTAGCTGGGAGGTAAAGGACTATCTCTATGATTCCAAAGATGCCATTGGGGCAAACCTTTGACCTGTGGCTGCCTTAGAAATTTTCCCCCAAACTGGGTGTTGGACATTTGTTTCTGTTCTCATAATTCACTTGCAACTTCAAAGTACTGAATTTTAAACACAGCAAATATATGTTAGCATCAAAGACATTTTCATCATAGAGAATGTAATTAAATATTTTAACCTAAAAGATTCATCAATAACTCTGTCTAAATTTAACACAGACAGCTGACCACAGTGAAATGAATGTGTGGAAGCTGTAATTTAAAATCCCTGTCACTGGAGATAGCATCAGGAAATATGAAATAATTAGGAAAACTCTGCCCACTTCTCTGTAGTGCCTAGACACTGAATGGGACAACTCATTGCTGAGAGTAAAGATGTATAGATTCATCGACTGTGGCGATATTTTGTTTCTTCCATGACAATAAAGCTTGCCTGAGAATCAGTGTGTGCAGATAGCCACTAGTTAGCCACAGAAGACAGGCAGTGTTGTCACTCACCTTTCCCAACACTTAAGAAACAGAACTCTGTGAGTTCAAGGCCATCCTGGGCTACATTAGATTGATCCAGTCTAAAAGAGAAACAGAGTCAGGCAGTGGTGACTCACATCTTTCATCAAAGTGCTTTGGTGTCACACACCTTTAATCCCAGCACGAGGGAGATGGAGAATGAAAGGAATGTGGCTGGGAAAAGAGAGGAATATAAGGTGGGAGGAGATAGGAGATCCAGGCAGTCAGTCTGAGGTCTTGTAGAGACAGGATGCTCCATTTGGTCTGAGGATTTTGTCGAGGAAAGAACTAGTGTCTGGCTGCTCTGCTGTTCTGATCTTATAGCTCCAACCACTTAATATCTGACTCCAGATTTTATTATTAAGACCAATTAGAACTCACGCTACAATCACCTTCATGCAATGGAAGATACAGGTGTCTGTTCTCCTCATACAGTCCTATAGATCCAGTGCAATACCAACAGAACTCTAACAGACTTTTCATAAACTAATGGGCTTAATCTGAAACTCACAGTGAATATGAAAAACCCCAGCTTGAAACAACCTTATAAAGGAACAAACTTGGAGGATGAACACATGATTTCCAGACTCCTTATAAACATAGAGAAATGTAGACAGTGTGCCTGATTGGAAATGACAATAAGACAGAAAAGAATATGAAGGGGACAGAAGAGTCACACATGTGTAGGGGACACCTTTAGCAAAGACACAAAGACACTTCAGTGAACAAAACATATGCTCTTCACGAGGTTTTCTGGGACTCTTGGTGGTGGTAGGGAGGTACAGCCCAGCACAGTGACCAGCAGCCTGAGGATAACCCTGTCCCTTTGATGACCTTGACCCTGGTAAAGATGAATCTAGGATGCAGTAAAGAATTTCAGAAACAGCCAGGATGAAGCAAAGGTTGTGAGCTTATTAATCCTGTGGATAGAAGCTCACACAGAATAAGGATGGCTCCTGCATGATGGCCTGAGAGTGGACTGGAGAGAGACTTGAGATTAGGTGTCATTGCAAAGGGTATGTGAGGTGGGCAGGGAGGGAGGTACAGTGGGAGAGGGAGAAATGGGAGGATTTTTATGGCTCTAAAGTTACATTGCTGAAAGAATGTAATTCAAAAAATTTCAAGATTAAATTACATTAAAGCCTATATACAGGTTTTTAAATTAACTATAAGAATATTTTTACTCTTTAAATGGGTTCTATTTTTCCATTAGGAAAAAATATTCAATAGCTTATTAAAAAGTAAAAAATGAAAATAAAAAGCAATGCTTTTAAATGTGCTTATTCCTTTTAAAATTTCTTTCAGTAAATTAAATTGTAAGGTGATTATGTGACTTAGGCGAGAGAATGTAGTGCTATCATCATCCATCTCAAGGCTATAAGTACTCTGCCCCTAAGTAAGCATAACTGTGTTTTTTATTTTCTGCTTTTGAATGCTTTTCCACAGGGAAGTCTGTGCACCACGTGAGTACCTAAAGCCCACAGAGGGTACCAGACTTTATGAGATCTCTCGGAACTGGAGTTACAGACAGTTGCGAACCATCGGGTAGGTGTTGGGTATCAACCCTGAATCCTCTGGAAGACATCCAGTGATATAAAAGAATGAACCCTATCTTCAGACTCTAGTTTATTTGTTGTTATTTTTAAACATTATTTGGGATGTCTTTATGAATAACTGCATCATATCTGCAGGTAATTTTGGCTCTATCAGTTGAGTTGAGGTTTCTTGAATGTCAAAAAAAAATGTAAAAATGATTACAGGGTGAGGGGCTGTGTGTTCCCTCTCATATCCCCTTCAATGCCCTGTCTTTCTGTCTTATTTTGGGACAAACAGACCTCCCCATGCACAAATATGAATATAGACAAACGTATATCGCAGGATACAAAAGTCAATCTAGAGTGAACAAATGATCTACACAGGACTAGGGAGACATCTCAGAAGTTAAGAGTGCCTTTTGCTATTGCAGAGGACCTGACTTCAGTTTCCAGCACCCAGTTCCAGTCTCTGAGCAACAGTGACAGGAACCCCAATCTTCACCCTTCTTTAGTGAAGAAGGGTTAATATTTTAAATTAAAATGAGTTTTGTGTCCCAAAGATTAAAACAATTGTTTAGTCTGCACCTTAGCTCCAAAGCAAACCAGAATTCAAGCTGCAGAAGCAGTTTAGCATTTGTGCTCCAGGGCAGGTGGGATTTCTGAGTGAGGTGAGCTGGATTCAGCTATCTGGAGCATATCCTGGCACTTATCTCAGCCGGGTCTCCCTGACTCTCTAGAGGCAGTATGACACCCTGCAGAGTGGAGCAGCAGGTTCTGTTATCAGGCACTCCTCTCCTTGGGGGCAGGAAAGGCCGGACCAAGGACCTCTCCTCAGTTGCCTCTGGAAGACCTCTGTGGGGCGTCTGCAGCCTCAACATCATCCAGGTCCAGATTTTATTTTCTTTCTGTGAAAAAAGCATAAACATATCATCGACCCCAAATATATATAGGTCGGGTTTTTTCATAATGCATTGTAAGGGCTTTTTCCACCTTGCCCTAGCAAAGGTCAGCTTGGTGTTATCATGTCAGATCCGTTTGCATCAGGATCTGCTTACAACTTTTATGATTTGCTTTGAAGGACCCTTGTTATGCTCCACAATTTTTTTTATTAGCCCTATATGCAGTTCTTCCATTGGAAGAGCCATTTGTAAAATTTAGCATAAAAGGCACGCCCGCAAGGGACCCAAGGAGCTAGTGGCAGCGGGGGAGGCCATGTGGACCAAGGCGCTGAGGGCAGCAGGCCTTGGCCCCCCAGGCCCCCCCCCCCTGCCGCCGCCATGGGCATCAGCAATATGCGCCCAGGAACCCGCCTGCGGGGAGGATCAAGGCAGAGGGTTCAAAGGCTGGGGAAGTTCTTGGAAGGCGGCCACTTGGGAGATCTGTTCCTTCTCGAGAGTCTAATCCAGCACTGCCCTTGGGAAGGAGCTCCCCAAGGAACCCCCACAACCTCATGCTGGAGGCAAGAGTGGACATGCTCGGCTCCAGTATGATCATCAATGGCCCGGCTGCAGACCTCGGTGCTAAAGAGGCCAGCAGGCCCTCGAAGAAGCAGCCTGGCAGCGTCCAGAAGCCTGGGCCATCCACCCGAGACCGAGCCCCTCAGCATAAAGGACAAGATATCCAAGTGGGAAGGCAAGAAGGAGCCACCTACTCCTGAGCCTGCCAGGCCAACGGAGGGCCAAGAGAACTACTTGCCACCCTGCGGGGTAGAGCGGAGAGGCAGCGAGGTCACCAGAACAAAGAATGGGTTGAGGCTTGAAACAGAGAGCTTGGAAAATGACAGCAGAAGGACAGCAAAGACCACGTGTCAGGACACAGACCGGTGGCCAGGCCTGAGGCAGAGTGATGGGCAGCCGGAGCCCAGCCAGCGCCGAGGTGTCGAGCTGAAGCCCAGTGACTTGCGTTTTCAGAGTGACCACCTCTCCGCGCTCAAACAGGTCAGGAGACTGGAGAAGGCCTTGAAAGATGGCTCTGCTGGTTTGAACCCCCAGTTGCTGGGGACTTGTTATTCCCCACACTGTCTGCCTGACAAAGCAGAAGAGGACCAGCACATTCCCGAGAGTCCTGGAAGTGGGGGTGCTTTTGCAGCTGGCCGCAGGGCCCACCCCTTGGAGGACAAGGAGCCAGGGGCTGAGGCTTCAGAGAAGTGTAAAGGCCAGGAGAGTGTATACCCGGGCTCCAGGCAGTGTCCCCGAAGCCTTTCATCA